GGTCAATTCGCATATGTACGCAACAAGTCTGTAACGGACCAACTTATCTTGCTAACCCAATCAATGGCTGTAAATATTGATAATGGCACTAATTTTGACCTGATATCTCTAGATTTCAGGAAAGCTTTCGACCGGGTCGACCACTCTATACTCCTAAAGAAATTCGGTAAGATTGCTACAGCTTCGTCAGTAAAATGGCTGAAGAGCTTCTTAGGGGATCGACAAATTGAAGTGAAGGTACATAGCACTAAATCGAAGAAGCTGAGCATCAACTGCGGAGTGCCTCAAGGTTCCCACCTTTCACCACTCCTATTCCTACTCTATATAAATGACCTGCCCAACGCTATGCAACATTGCACGCAATATCTATTTGCAGATGATGTCACCCTCCTACTGGCTTACAAACCTGAAGACACCCTCGCCAGTAGAGCGAACATGCAGTCTGATCTCGATGCATGTCAAACATGGGGCAGGAACAATGGAGGTGAATTCTCAGCAAGCAAGACATCCGTGCTGTGCCATAGAGCTATCAATGATACACCTACTGCAGGAATCCAATACCAAATGTACAATGAGCCATTAACGGTGGTTTCTGAACTGCAACATCTTGGCATCACCTTGACCGACAACCTGGATTTCCGCAAACATGTCGCCTCAATAACTTCGAAGTTCAGATATCGAGTGCACCTACTGTCAATTATGTCCCAGCAACTTACGCCTTCGGCAATGATCATACTGTACAAAGGATTCGTAAGACCTGTGATCGAATATAGCTGTACGGTGTGGTCGTTTGGATCTAATAAGAAACCCATGACCACTCTTGATCAATTACAGGCAAGGTTTGCTAGAGCTCTACTGAAAAGAAAAAAATTGCATTTGATTACACTTCTTCCAAATCTGTCTTAAATTCTAAATGCTCCCTAGAGTCACTAGCCTATCGTCGTCAAATCATCAGTCTCACTACTTTTCACAGATATGTTTTCCATCATCGTGATTACCTTGCTGATTTCCATTTCAAGATTACGAATAGTGAGCGACGACCAAATAAAATCATTCTTCCCTAATTTAAATCATTGTCTAAGTCTCTCTTCATGTTCCGAACTGCTATTCTATGGAACTGTTTACCCCCCAGTCTAACATCGGAAGCCTCGCTCTATAAGTTCAAAGCTGCCCTCAGGAAATTTACAGCTGACTATGCTTATGCAATCAACGGAATTCCGCCACCTTGCAGTTGATTTTCCCCATTTCTCTCCTCATCAATCCCTACTTCTCTTTGTACATACATCTACATCTACTGTTCTTTCAATCAAATGAACCCCTCGATAGGCACGTTGCCTTTGGGTCATTTCATAATAATAATAATAATAATAATAATAGCCACTTCTAGGCTAAGCCTTCACCGTCATTTTATTGGGTCGTCATCCCGTTTGAATGTGCGAAGTGAAATAAAAACCAACCAACCAACCAAGTTACCACAACATGTTCCAGATGTTGGTCATTTGATGCTACATGAGGCAGGTTGTCTCCGGTCAAACATCTCTAGCTTAAGATTTGTGTGTAGCTCTCCACCCCTAGGCCTGAAAGTTATCCAACGGGCCTTTTGTTTCCATCAATTATTTTTCCGAGGTGGGAGGGGGGGGGCAGACTCTTTTTCAAGAGCCTCTTCGTTGGTATTGTACGGTTAGGAGACCACACCGAGAGCGAAAACCCTGAATTACATGATATAATGGTGCAGGATGAGAAAGAATACTTCTTTTCTCACTCACATGCTTCTGCCACACACACACACACACACACACACACACACACACACACACACACGCACCTCAGACCTCAGATCTCAGACTTGCCCATCGCGGAAGCGATGATAGCGAACAGCTATGTTAGACATAGCAACTTGTGCTGGGATTACACCATTCAACAGCTTGCAAGGCTGATGAACACACACACACACACACACACACACACACACAAACACACACACACACCCCACCAGCTAA